TGACTTTCTTCTTAAAAGCCCAATCTGGGGCGTCTAAGTCAGATGCCCTCGGGGGACGTCTTGTACACCTTAGGCTGTTATCTCCCATCCCGGTGTGTGTCGGACCCCCCCTCTTTCTCTCCCCTCACAATTGTCATAATCAGAGGAACTCCTGCAGTGTCTGCAGACACAAAGGCCCCAGGCTTGTCTGAACAGAAACCTATTTGTGGAAAATGGGCACTTTGGAAGAGGGAGAATGCGCTCCTTTCTTTGCACAAAGGGGAACAATTAAAAGAGGGGGGTGGGAGACGCTCCGGCAGGTGGGTGGTCTTCCCGAGGTCAGGGTTGAGGCCAAGAGACCCTCGTGGTGGAAGGGAAGATAAAGCCAGTGGTCTTACCTGGCTGGGCGGTGGCAGGGAGGATTTAAGACAGAACTTTTAGCTCCCGGCTCTGCAGAATTTGTGTGTGTCACGCTGTGTGTCTGCTGCATGTATGTGTGTGTAGGGGGAGCAAAAGGCTGGGCTAATGACTATTAAAACAAGCAAGGTGCCTCAAAACACTTAAAAATGACTCTGATTATAAAGCAAAACAATGGATTTATGCCAGAAATTTAGCACCTAACACGCTAGCTCTGGCGTTAACTTTTTTTTTCACCCCGGCCTACCTCATAGGATGGTTGTGAGGATGAAAATAAGGATGGTGGGCAAAGCTCCTTGTCAGAATAAGAAAAGGAAGAGATGAATCAACGGGCAATTGATTATAAGTAATCCTCGGCTTACCATAATTCATTTAGTGACCAACGGCACTGCAAAAGAGTGACTTATGACCATTTTTCAGACTTATGACCGTGGCAGCATTCTCATGGTGACGTGATCAAAATTCAGACACTTGGCGACTGACTCGTATTTATGACGGTTGCAGCGTCCCGGGGGGATCACGCGATCCCCTTTTGCCCCCCTTCGGGCAAGCAAAGTCAGTGGGAGAAAGCCAGATTCACTTAACAACGGTGGCAAGAAACGTCCTGAAACGGGGCCAAATTCACTTCAGATCGGTGCTAAAAAGTTTCCGCTTCTCCAAATCAGCCTCAGGGACTTACAAGGAGGAAAGCCAACTTGGTTCACCCCCAGTTTGGGCTGACCTCATGTCTTGTGTGTAAAAGCCATGAAAAAGTGAGGTTCCAGATCCCTTTTTTTAATTCATTTTGATTCCTGGCTTAGAGGGGGAAAAAAGGGGGGGGATGGAAGCAACTGGCTCCAAGCAGGCAGGAAAACCAGGGTGGGGGTGGGGGGGAGGGCTGAGAAGAGGGGAGAAAACTCCTAAGTAGTTGAAAAACACCTCGACTCAGCTTCAGAAGGAGCTCAGCTTCCTTTCCTTCTTATTTTTCCAGCCATTTAGAAATCCTCCTTTGATCTATTTGAGAGGACCCGATTAAGAAATTAATCTCGCAGGGCCCACCGAGGTTATTTCAGCACACAAAAGAAGGAGCTTTCCGACACCGCCTGTTCTTTCTCCAGCCAACTTAAGGCAACCCACCCCTTAAAAATAACCTTGTTTTTTATTATTATTATTATTTTCAAGGTGCTTTGCCCCAAACATTTACAGGAGGAGTTTGGATGGGCAGGGGAGGAGCAGGAGGGGGGAGCAAGAAACCCTCTTTGCAAAGAGTCGAAAAATAGCCACGTTTGCTTCAGTAAAAGTTGATGGTCGGTAGGTGAAGCTTGCAATTCCCAAGCGGAAGCACCGTCCTCTCCTGTAACGGTGGGATTGTTCCCTGCAATTTGGAAAGGGGGGGGGAGAAAAACCCAGCTATTTGAATCAGCTTGGTGATAATGGGGGAGGGGGGAGAAAAACCCACCTATTTGAATCAGCTTGGTGATAATATCTAGTGCAAAAAATGAGAGCAATTCGGCCTCTCGGCTTTCACGGATTTGTTCCAAGCGTGAATGGCAGTTCTGAGAAAAAAAAAAGCCTGGCAGATGTGCTGGGATGCTTTCTAAGGGAAGGCTGGAGGGAGAATTTTTTTTTTTTTTTTTTTGCATTTGAGTAGCAAAAGCTTTAACTCCTGTACGGGTTTTGTGGGGACCTGTCCATCAAATACTGGAGAATAGGTGCTAATACGCACACACCTGTAAACTCAGCAAGACATTTCACACCGAATCTGGGACAGAGGGAAGACAACGTGTGGAGTTATTTTGAGTCCACCTTGAAGGATGGTTTCACAAACCCCCTTGCTAAAGAGGACAGCGTATCAGAAGGGAAAAGGCCTATAATGTAAAATTGATGGGGGTGGGTGGGTGGATGGGGAGGCTTGGAGCTGCCCAACTCACCGCCAGCTGGCCACCTCTGAACTGGGTTAACCTCTTTTTCAAGATAGATTTTTTGTGCCTGGCCCCAAATATTTCACCACTACGACTAGAAAGGGAACTTGCCATAGACGGGTCTTTCCTTCGCCGGATGGAGACAAAGGGAAGAGAATTTGGCCAAAGACCCTCACTTGGAATAATTCTGCCTCCACTTGGCTGTGCCAAGATTTTTTTAAAAAATCAATTTTGGGGGGGAGGGGGGGGAAACAGGAGCCAAGAAAAAGAATGCACCGTTGATTAGGAGTGGTTGAGTAACACCGCCGAGGAGAGAACGGCAGAGCGTTGGCATCAAAATGAATCAAAAGTTCAAGGATTCTTTCAACGGTCGTAAGTCCCTTTCCTTCAATGCTGTTGTAACTTTGTACGGTCGCTAAGAAAGTGGTAGTAAGCCGGGCATTACCTCCATATGCCCCTTTTCAGGGGTGGCATCAGATTTTAGAGAATTATCGGAGCTCCCTTCTTGAAAGCTAGAATCCTGCAAAAAAGGGGAGGTTCCAAACTCTACGCTTAGTCCTCGACTTACGAGCACAACTGAGCCCAAACTTTCCGTCGTTAAGTGAGACATTTGTTAAGTGAGTTTGGCCCCATTGCACGACCTTCCTTGCCGCAGCTGTTAAATGAATCACTGCAGTTGATAAGTTGGTAACCCAGTTAAGTGAATCTGGCCTCCCCCCCCCAGATTTGCTCGTCAGGAAGTTGCCAAAGAGGATCACGTGACCTTGGGACACGGCAACGGTTCTAAGTGCGAGCCCGTAGCCCAGCCTCTGAATTCTGATCACATGATCATGGGGATGCCGCAAAAGTCGTAAGTGTGAAAAATGGTCCTAAGGCACTTTTTTCAGTGCTGCTGTAACTTTGACGGGTCACTAAATGAACTGTTGTTAAGTTAAGGATTACTTGTATTGTGGTTTCCTACAAACCAGAATCCTAGAGCAGTGTTTCTCAACCTTGACAATTTTAAGGCATGTGGACTTCAACTCCCAGAATTCCACAGCCAGCAATGCTGGCTGTGGAATTCTGGGAGTTGAAGTCCACATGCCTTAAAATTGTCAAGGTTGAGAAACACTGCTTTAAAGTGTCAGGACTTCCAATTCCCAGAATTCCTCGCCTCGCAGGCTTTAAGATGGGTGGACTTCAACTCCCAGAATCCTCCTGGTTGGGGACTTAGGGGAGTTTTATTTATTTTTTGTTATTCAGCTTTCATAACTTTTTTATAACAACTTTGAAAATGGTAATTTTATAACTTTTTTTATAAGTGAATTGAAGTTTAGGCGTCTTAAAGTTGCTAAGCTTGAGAAATGCCGAGCTAGACCATAAGCCAGACCTTGAAATGTTGTAATGTCTGTCAAACAGTCAAAACTTTGTGGGGAATTTAGCAAAATCGGTGCGTGTGCAAAAATGCATGTGTAACTGTAAATGCCCAATATATTATTTAGAAAAGCGTCAGGTCACCGGTTTTTATTACTGTTTTCCTAAAGGTTTGTATCCCTTTAAAACAGTGTTTCTCAACCTTGACAATTTTAAGGCACGTGGACTTCAGCATTGCTGGCTGTGGAATTCTGGGAGTTGAAGTCCACGTGCCTTAAAATTGTCAAGGTTGAGAAACACTGTCCTAGAGGGTATTTTGTATAGGCAAATTCCTTCGGGAGACAAATTGGAAAGAAACAGAGGACAAGGGACCACTGAGAAGCAGAATGTACAAGCTATCTTCAGATTCCATTTGTCTAACTACATGGTATGCCCCCCCCCCAGGACCCACACTTAAGTGTTTATCAATTGCCCTATGGTTCTTTGGCTCAAACAGGGGCAACGTGAATTATTTACGGTGTGTACACAACTTTTCAATTAACCAACCACTTGCCTCTTGAAAATACCCACCCACCATTTATAAGTAGCAATTCCAGACTAAATATCTCATGATGAGCGGGTCACTATGAATTAAAAATGAGCTCCTGATGAAATATTTAATGACTGCTAAAACGAAGGGGGAAGTCAAAGATTTTTTTTTTCTTCCATTAAAACATATCTGTTCGGTAAATTTGACTTGCAAAACCTGCTCGGAGGTGCATTAAGGTACGCAATTTTAGCTTTTGGAGAATAGCACCGCGTAGAATGCCAAACTGCGCTAACCTAGTAGAATCGGCATGAATCTTAGAAAAATCAGAACGATTGATTTGCAGCTCATCTCTGCCCATTTAACATTTTTGATATTTTCAATATATTATCTATTCGAGTCTATTTCAAACCCTTGTCATCCAGAAGTGAAGAACTAAAGATGGTAAAAAGTGGAAGGAAGAGAAAGGGAACAGGTAAACACATAAGAGGAAAAACTGCTTCTCTCTTATTTTTTTTTTCTGGACTGGCATATTTTTATTCAGACTACAAGCCTCAGGGAAAGGTCTACCATCATTGCAGTAAACACATATTGCACAAATAAAATTTTTAACCACTGCTACCGACTGGGTGCTCAGGACCACCCCTGAAGTAGAACATCCAAAGTTGGAGACATAATTTTAGGGGAAAGGCATCCCCTTCCAAAATAGATTAAATCTCAAACCCAGTTTAAACCCAGATTTAAAAATCTGTTTTGTTCCGCCAGGTGATTTTGCAGCATTGGGATACTAATAGCAATAATTCAAATTTGAAACTTTTCCCTACCATTAATTGGTGCATCAACAGATCCGTTAAAAAAATAATCTTGTTGCTGAAGAGAACATAAGTGCAGTTTTCCACACAGTTATTGCAGGCCAGATAATAGGCGCTGATGGTATTACAGAGCGATCTAGGAGATAAAATGAAAATTTAATCACATTAAAAAGACAAAAATTCAGGCCGGACCATATATCTCTAATATGAAATGCTTTGCATTATTATTATTATTATTATTATTATTATTATTATTATTATTATTATTATTATTATTATTATTATTATTTTACCAATAACTCAAGGCAGTGAACATATCCAACACACAAAACATAAGCTTTAAACGCTGAAGTTTCTCAAATAACTTTTCTGTGTAGGATATAGGACAAAGTAGGAAGTAGCTATGGATACCCACCGAATAATATCTGCTCCTTTATGTTAGCAAACAGTTTTGCAAACCCCATCAAAGTAATTATTTTTCCATTCATGTTTAAGAATGTTTACAAGAAATCTAATATTAGAGAGGGAGCCGATCACTGGCCAAGCTCCTTTCAAGATCACCAGGGAACCAAAAAGATAAAAAACACTTTTCTGTCCAATGGATGATGCCCAGTTGGGAATAGTTTAGAAGAGAAAACTGCATTTGCAAACAAGGTTGGAAAAGGCCTAAAGTGAGGAAACCGGGAGGCAGAGCTCCTTAGAGCCAAACCAAGAGGGATTCCTTCTCCTGGAATCTCTGGGGATCCATTTACGCTTCTTAAGAGTGTGGAAAGAAAACAAAGAAAGCTATTTGTAGGAAACTCTTCCACAAGACTTCACCGGGAGTCAGATGGCAGTCAAGCACAATAAAATCAGCTTATTACTGGTCAACCATGCAGTCCTTCTGCAAACTTTATTTATTTATTTTTGATTTCAGGTATATTTTAGGAAAGACATTCTAATCTGCGCTCTCCGGACGGAGCAGTTTAGAGTGCCTGTAATTCTCAGAAAAATCAGGAATCCCGTAGCACTTTTTTCTGATAAGTATGTTTTATTAAAGGCCATTATGCTTTCAGCTCATGAAGCTTATGCCTTTTAATAACATTTATCATTTGGGAAAGGTGCTACCAGATACTTGATCTTTTTTCCCCCCCCCACCACTGGAGAATAACGTGGCTCTCTTCCTCCTGGAATTTTCAGGTTGGCAACTTGGGGGTGCCAAAAGGGCCACCAGTTTTTTTTGGCTGAAAAGGTGAATCTAATACAATATATCGAATTGGTGATCTGTAGACTTCCAGGTCCTCTCTCAAATCTTTTGAAATTCCTAATGCTGGAGATTGAGAGGATTAAACATAGAAGAAGGGAAGGCAAGGGGTTTACCCCAGCATCTTCATCCATTATCCTTAATTTTTACATGCTACATAGCATCACAGTTCACTTGGGACTCCATGCCAGCTCCAAACTCGTTCATTGTCAAGCGTAATTCTTGTCCACCAAGCACACACAATAGGTCCCAGGGACAGGGAAGTTTAAGGACTGCCTTTGATTTAAAAAAATAAATGGAAGGACTATGTATCACCTGATGGCTTTTTGAAGCCAGGCAAAAGGGTCCTGGAGGCTCTCTGTTTTAATCTCACTGGGACTAAGGAGATTTGTCTGTCTGTTTATGGGATCTTAGGTTACCGTAGTCTATTTGGAGTTTGTGAATTGGTAAGGGGAATGGTTAAATAACATTCTGCATCTATGACAACTTGCTACAAGCGTAAACCTTGGCTGCCCTAGGAGAAATAGCCATCGAGATTTTTGTAGGAAGACCAACCTTTGTTTCACCAAATTACGGTTTTAATTATTGGATATTGCCTTTTAAGTGCTGGCCCCCATTCTCTCCTCAACCTGTTTTAACTGGTCTGGTTGCTATTGGTAAAAACGGTGTTATCACCAGCCCTACAAGGGGGTCCACTGGAGAAAGATTTTACCCTTTAGGATTGGAGCCAGATCAGCTCAAAGATGTAACATGGGATGTTTTTTTATAATGGCTCTGCATATATAATGGTACAACAGCTAGCACTGATGATGTTACCTAGTTGGGTAATGAAATGTCTTCAGGAAAACAAACCAAGCTCAGAGAGCACCAAGGACCCCTCAGTTCAACCCTGAGCTGCAAATATTCTCTCCTATTGACTTTATAATGTTTTTTTCCAATGTCTCAATAGGTTGACTTGGATTTATAGATACATACACACATACATACTATAGTTTGATTTGAATATAACATTAGAGAGTTTAAACTTGGAAGTTAAGAAATATGTAAAATAGTTATTAACATGTTCAGTGAGTATTAAGTTGTTGATTCAATATAATAATTATATCAGCACTCTCTTTGACGTCCTGGACCTGAATTGACCTCAATATATCCTGCATATAATGAATACTTGTATCTGGGATAGTTTATTTTCAGTCAATTAGCAAAAACTACAAAACAATCAAGCTATGAAATTTGCTAATAAAGAAGGTATTCTCTCGACCAAACATACATATAAATTTAAAACAGATAAATTACATTTAAAACTAATTATGTCTATCTTTTTAAAATCAAGAATTGAACTCCCCATTTTATATATATATATCTCAATAATAACATTAAAAATAAAAGTGTGATTCCTGGGTATATTCATCTTCTAAGCAACCAAAAAACACATGAGCACCAGGAATATTATAAAACTATAAAAGTTTAATACAATAAATCACCCAGCTTTCGTTGGCAGCTACCGACATCGTCAGGGTACAATGTTAGTTGATGGGAAAGTTCATTTATAGGCAAAATGCTGCTTGCACCCGGTGACGAGATCTATATATATGAGGTTTTATCATGTTTAAAATATCAGCTGATCTAAGTATTTATTCTAGAAAACAGGGGATACTTAATTTGACAAAACAACATTCCTGAATTTGTGGTTTTTCCCACTGATTTTTCTCCTCTGGGATTATAATGTGAAAGTTGGGGAGGTTTCCAACATTTGAAGAACCACCAGACAGAAAAAGATTCGATATAAACAATGAGTAAAGTGATGCCATTTATTTTTATTTATTTTTCAGGACAACATGGTGGGACTTGAGAATCTGGCTTGGGGTGGGCTGGTGGATTCACAAGAGAGAAAGGTTGACATAAGCTTGTTAATGGCTATAATTAGAAAGAATTTAGAAAGATTCCTGGCGCAAGTTCAGTTATACTGCTTTTGAAGATTCAGATGTGCAAATGTCAGGAGGGAGTGAGCCCCAGGAGATTGGATGTGTTAAATGGGAGATTTGAGTCAGTAAAACTAATTTCTTTATTTTAATCTTATTTAAAAAAAACGACAGCTGTCAACTGTCACCACTTTTTTTTTCAAAGTCTCCCAGACAAGCATCAAATGGTTGATGTTTTCAAGCCGGTTTATTGTTTTAACTTGTAAGATACCCACTTGACAAAAGCCCTTTTGCAATTTGGCTGGTTAAGGGGAACTATTATTACTTTATTATTATTTTAAAATTTCCTCCCAACTTCACTCTGCCCAAATGCCTCCAGAAGAAGCAGAAAAAAAAAAGAAGATTATGATGGCACCTAACACAGTTGCTCAGGGATTGCTACTGAATTAAACCGAGCTTGAGCATTACTAAATCAGCTTTAAGAGCTGATGGCACAGCATTTGACTGGACAGTTTTGCGTTGATCATAAATCCCAATAAAACTGCTTAATTTTCTTTAAGAGGGGCTGTATTGAAATTAACTGGAAAAATAAATCATGCTGGGTTTATACGTATCGCACTATTTAGCAAATAAAAATTATCTCTTGAATAAAAATCCAGTCACTGATGGAACATCTTCGGAAAGTAGTCTTCAAGTTTTTTGAGCCCACCCATGGACGCCCAGGATGCCAAATCTAATTTGTGCCTTAGTTTTCAGAGCCTCTGCTCGGCTTTTCTTCTTGGTTGGAGAGAGATTTATAAATCTGCCCATTTTATTCTACTGCACAGATAAATTCTTGCCTTCAGTTATGTAACTGTTAAAGGTGAGACGTTTAACATTTGCAAACCATTCTTCAAAAAATTTCTGTTTATTTATTTTTAAATAAAGATATCTAATGAAAGAAATAATCCCTCCAGCTTCTCCAGCACAGAAGGAAGAAGCTTTGATCCAACAGAGTTACACAGAATTTAGAGTATTTGGTTGTATTCAGAGAAACTAAGTTCAAATATTTGCGCAACTCTAAAACTTATTTTTTCTTTTTTAGGGTTTGAAGGGTGTCCTGGGAATAACATTCAGCTCCTGAAGGAAACATTGGAAATGAATTAAAAACAAACACATTTGTTTGATTCCTATACTAAAACACTTCTGTTTTTTTTCCTAAACCAGGGGTCTTCAGACTTGGAGTTGAAGTCCACAAGTCATAAAAGGGCCACGTTTGAAGACCCCTGTCCTAAACGAATAGACTGCAAGACATTTATCGAAAAGCACAAAACCAACATAAGGGAACAAGTGGAAAGAAGACTTTGCGATTGCTAGCAGCACATACAGAGTTTGCACTTCCCCAATAATTGGTTTCTGATAGATTATTGATTTCTACAGAGGACCAGATCCTACGTTATGAACCAGCCGTGGTGGCAATAACTTCAGTGATCTAAAATTTGCTGTGCTTGCAAAAAAAAATCCTGTGCAGGTTTGTACTGAAAGGCTGCATTTTTGGGTGAGATGCCGATGAGCTTTTTAAAAGTCACAAAATGGGTCCCTGCCAACATTTAGCTATGATTAATTGCATGCTTGTCCTAAACTCGCAGTCAAGGACCCACGCCAAAAGGCTGTGCAGAGGTTCTGAGCTCACACAAAGAACTCTCTATATGCACAATCCAAAGGGCTGTTTGCAGCTTCCTTTTTTCACTTCCTCGTTTTCCCTTTTGCACTTGCTCCTGACTCATTCGAAACGCTCCAGATAATATCTCAGGATACCTGCATTTCTTCTAGTGGAGTTAGAAAGAAAGAAAGAAAGAAAGAAAGGGAAAGAAAGAAAGAGAAGGAAAGAGAAAAAAGAAAGAAGGAAAGAGAAAAAAGAAAGAAGGAAAGAGAAGAAAGAAAGAAAGAAAGAAAGAAAGAAAGAAAGAAAGAAAGAAAGAAAGAAAGAAAGAAAGAAAGAAAGAAAGAAAGAAAGAAAGAAAGAACAGGTACGGGGAACGTCTGCAGCTTCTGCAGGCTCTATGGCGGGAATGAAAAAGATTTTAGCCTGTTTCCCATTTGTGTTTTAGCAACTGAAAAGGGCAAAGAGAGAGATGCTTTCCAAAGACTTCGCAGCTGGTTAAGGTTAATCAGAAAATTAGGATGGGTTCAGCTGGGTTAAGCTCTATAGACACGCTGAATCAAACCAAGCTTAGAGACTTTTCCACTTTTCTAACGTCTGTCCTTTGAGATCCCAAAGGTGCTTTTCAAAAAAGCAACTGGACTTTCTTGGGGGGGGGGTTTTCCCCCTTGAAAATGTTTCGCTTCTTATCCAAGAAGCTTCTTCAGTTGTAAAGGTTGTAAAATCAAGCAGGGTGATAGACAGGAGGACTTGCTTTACCTGATTTCAAAGGACAAACACAATACTAGTAACCTTTGGAAAGGCTAGTGTTCCTCTTGAAGGCGTGGTGCTCAGAGACTCTTTGCCCAGTCTCTTGAAAATGCATATCCAGGCAGAGAAAGGGTCACTGCTGAAGCAGAACGACTCTGAAAACTTTGCAAAGTCCTTGTTTTGCTCACAGTTGTTAGTTTTAATTTCACCTAATTTCTGGGTTTTGTCACCGAATCGGGAGGAGAGGACACCTCCAGAAACAGTAGCAAAACACCTAGACGAGGATTCACATGGACTCTGGAAGTGGATTGCCCAGACCCACTCAATTTTTACAACATTACAATCCGAGCAGCTGTAGAGATCCATGAAGTTGACTTAGAGCAGTGGTTCTCAACCTTTTTAATGCCGCGACCCCCAACTGGTCGTAAGTCGAGGACTACTCAACCGGCCGTAAGTCGAGGACTACTCAACTGGTGCAGCACCGTTTGCAGAATGGGACTTTTGGCGGGCTCAGCAGGGCAGAGACAGCCTGGACAATTCCTATTGGCTTTTGAAAGCCAATAGAATTAGACTCTATTCAAGAGAGTCTATTCTATTGGCTTTCAAAAGCCAATAGAATAAAAGGGAGTAGCACAGCTAAGGAAAAGGGGGAAAAAAATGGCGAACTGCGTTGTTTGGCGACCCCCGTGAAATGGTCGTTCGACCCCAAATGGGGTCCTGACCCACCGGTTGAGAACCACTGGCTTAGAGAATGTTTCCATTGTTCCTGCAAGGGAGTGATTTACACCTTGGGTTCTAGCATAAGAGCAATGGTTCCTTAGCTTACTGAGAAGCTGAGAACATTTGGTGAGTGTTACCAAGTGGGTTAGGGTAAGAAAATACTGTCTTGTTTAGGGCTTCAATCTATCTATCATGGAGGTTTGACTCCTTGAGTAGAAGAGAAGCACACCCAGACTTCGGACATGTTGTTTTGAGCCAGGTCTACCTTGTTGGCAAAACTTCTGAAGGACACAGCCATAAAAAAAAAAATCTCTATAAATCATCCAACAGATGGACAGCTAAGAAGACTACAGCCAGGTAGAAAAGGAGCCATGAATTTATTGACGGGTCTAAAACTGGCAAAGCAGCATCAGACTTACTTCAAAGGGATTCTTGAAATGGAATTCAGGTTGATGGACGTTGTTGCAACTTGAAGGACTTGCTCCAGAGCGGAAAACCCACCAGCCACATGGAAGGCGACCTGATCTGCCACATTCTGGAGAGGAGGACACAAAAGGAAGAGTGGGAATATTAATGGGGTCTTGCTTTGAAGCAGGGCATCAATTCGTTGGTTGAAGGCTACCATTCTCACATTCCCTGGAAGAGACCGAGAGGGAAATTGGTGCATCTTCAGTGATGGATCATTAGCATTTGCATGGCTAATTAGAAAAAGGTTTAGAATTGACACAGGACTCGGGACAGATTCACACCCTAAACTGTCATGACTCTGGTTGGGTTGTGCCTAAACCTCTGTGGTTTGAAAACCATGATTAATGGTTTAGTAGGATGAGTGAACTCAGCCAACAGTTGTGGATGCAATGCACCATGGCTGTGCAAACCACAGACTAGCATGATGGGAGCTACCTCTGGGGTGATGTGGTTCCAGAGGTCAGGAGCCATGACAGAGAAGGCATGCGTCTTTGCTCCCACAAGTAGACCACACTTAACAGAAGAGACTAGGAGCATAATTACTCTACTGGAAACTATTGGGTAGGCAGAAACAATTGGAGATAGACTTAATTATTTGGGTTTCTGTAGTTTTCAGACCAAAAATATTTAGAAGAGGAATATCTACATACAGTAGCTGAAGAAAATGCACTGATGATTTGGCGGGCAAGAGAAACAGAAAGAAGAATCGTCCACTCCAGGATATTTTGCTACCCCTTGTCTCCAATGACCCTTCTAATTCAACTGGTCAAGGTCTCACGTTACAAAAAAAAAAAAAAAACAACCGCTGGTTTAATGCTAAGATCGGTCAGCAGAGGTCAGCAGCACGGCAGCAGCAAAGCCTCAGCAATGGACATGATTTCAAAGTGAGAGAGTCCAGGTATCAAACTATTAGCGATCTAGTTCACCATTGAATTCTGTGGGGCTTGACAGACCCCCCCCCCAAAAAGCAACACCAAGGTTTGTGGCTCATGAGAAAACTCCATTTCCAAAAAGTCTCCGTTGTTATAGAAGAGAATATTTGTAGCTCAGGGTTGAACTGTGGGATCCTGGTTGCTCTCTGCTGTTTTTATGCAGACGTTTCATTATCCAGCTAGGTAACAGCATCATACCTAATGATCACAAGCACCATCAACACCATCAGAGCACCGGTGATGCTACGTAATAGTAGTAGTAGTAGTAGTAATAGTAATAAAGTTGGAAGGACCTTGGAGGTCATCTAGTCCAACCCCCTGCTCAGGCAGGAAACCCTATACCTTTTCAGACAAATGGCTGTCCAGTCTCTTCTTAAAAACTTCCAGTGTTGGAGCATTCACCACTTCTGGAGGCAGGTGGTTCCACTGGTTAATTGTTCTAACTGTCAGGAAATTTCTCCTTAGTTCTAGGTTGCTTCTCTCCTTGATGAGTTTCCATCCGTTTCTTCTTGTCCTGCCTTCAGGTGCTTTGGAGAATAGCTTGACTCCCTCTTCTTTGGGGCAGCCCCTGAGATATTGGAACACTGCTCTCATGTCCCCCCTCGTCCTTCTCTTTGTTAAACTAGACATACCCAATCCCAACAACCGTTCCTTATATGTTTTAGCTTCCATTCCCCTAATCATCTTTGTTTCTCTTCTCGGCACTCTTTCTAGAGTCTCAATATCTTTTTTACATCGTGGTGACCAAAACTGGATGCAGGATTTCAAGTGTGGCCTTACGAAAGCATTGTAAAGTGGTATTAACACTTCACGTGATCTTGATTCTATCCCTCTGTTAGTTGGGTAATGAAACATCTGCAAGAAAACAACCAAGCTCAGAGAGCAACCAGGACCCCACAGGTCCCAGTAGGACTACCAAAATCTAAAGGAAATAGGGGTAGCAACAGACGGAAATAACGCCATCAACCAAGCTCCCTGCTCCAACACACCTTGACTTGAAGCCATCCTGTGTTCATCTACTTGGAAATGACTCTAAAGAACTGAACGAGGAACTGTACAATTTGTATCCTAAATCGTATGAGCAAGGACTTAAGAGAGGCAGACTGAAAGCCAAAGGGCTAAACAGATGAACATCAGACAAACCACAAGGATCTAAAGGAAGATTTTTAAAGCAGGGGTGTCCCAACCTTGACAATTTTAAGACCTGTGGACTTCAACTCCCAGAATTCCCCAGCCAGCATACCTTTCTCAGTTTTCAGAATCTTTTTTTTTTTTTAAATGAAAAACACATCCTCTTTCCTAAGACACCCTCTTAGGACTAAAAAGGTACTCAGATTATTCTTGGCAGGGCTCCTAGACTAGCAATGTTGTAAATAAAACCAGAGACAACCCTGCCCCCCCCAATCCCCCCATCCTCACATACACACAAAACTAATTATCCTGTTTCTGTGCCAAGGGGGAGGGGGAAGTCTAACTTGATGCTTAAAATAAGCATGGAGACTGATAGATATTCAGTCTTTTTTTCCCCCTCCTTCCCCAAAGGATAAATAGGTAAGATTAAAAAACAAACAAACAAAAACAAAAAACAATGGAGCAAAATTTTGATTCCTCTCCTTCAACCTGGCCAAGCCCGAGATACAAGCTGGACGTTGGCAGGAGGGAGCTGAAAATATTTTGCAGGAAAACAAGTTCCTTTAATTGCTCGGCCTGACTGGTTCAGAGCTATTAAAAGTAATCCTCGATGTACAACAGTTCATTTAGTGACCGTTCCAAGTTACAACGGCACCGAAAAATGTGAGTTATGACCATTTTTCACGCTTGTGACCGGTGCAGCACGACCCCACGGTCACGTGATCAAAATTCAGACGCTTGGCAATCGATTCGTATTTATGACGGTCGTAGCATCCCAGGGGTATTATCAAGTATCCCACTTGTATTATCAGCAGCAGGAAGAGCAGCGACTCTGTTTCCTAAGCCAGGATGAGGAGACCCACAGAGGCCGCCTCTGAGTAAGCTCTGTTAAGATCCCCACCCCAAAAGTCTCTTAAATTAAGAACCCAAAACTAAGGAGAAATTTCCTGGCAGTTACAACCATTAACCAGCGGAACTCCTTGCCTCCTGAAGTTGTGGGTGCTCCATCACTGGAGGTTTTTAAGAAGAGATTGGATGACCATTTGTCTGAAAAGATATACAGTCTCCTGCTTGAGCAGGGGGTTGGACTAGAAGGCCTCCAAGGTCCCTTCCAGATCTGTTATTGTTTGTTGTTCTTTTGTTATTCTGTTATTCTGTATGAAAGGGTCTCCTGCTTGAGCAGGGGGTTGGACTAGAAGACCTCCAAGGTCCCTTCCAACTCTTCCCCCCCCCCCGCGTTATTCTGAATTCTGATTCAAGCTTTAGATTGCAATGGTGGAAAGAGAGCTGCTCTGAAAAATTATAACCCACGCCAGGGACCAACAGACCGGCCAAAAGCCCCGCGCTGAAGATCTGACAATGTGCAGATTCTAATGTAAATAGCTGAGCCGGACTCTGCAACTCACCCAACCGACATTCCCGACTGTCTCTGTGCTGCGATAAACACTGTCTGCCTGCCGGCAGCTGCCCCCCCCCAGGCCCCCCATTCCAAAGTTACGACAAACACTGGGCTGAAATGTAAATACCTGACCTCAGGACCACGGTCTTTTATTTTTTTTTTTGAAAGAGAAATGAAATGGAACCCCAAAATTGTTGCTTGATGTGTAAAAATTCCCCAGGGTTAGCGGTCAAAAGGGAAGAGACTCAGGGAGCCGTTTGCAATGCTTGCAAAAATTGGCAGAGCAGGCCACGGAGTTTGGTCACTGAAGGGAAGAGACTCAGGGAGCCGTTTGCAATGCTTGCAAAAATTGGCAGAGCAGGCCACGGAGTTTGGTCACTGAGTGGAGATTAAAATAACAGCCGAAGAAGTGGGAATTTCAAGGGTATTTCTCCCTCCCCCCCTTTTTTTTCTGAAGTCATGCCAATAAAGGAAGCGTTTTCTCTATCTTTTGGAAGAGAGATGGGCTAGGAAGGGATATGTCAAGCGACTTTTTCTACTTTTTGGACATATTTACTATAACCTGTAAATCTTAAGAGGTCTTACTGCTAATCTGCAATTAACTTCCCTGCACATGCATTACACTTATTTTTAAATTAAGAAGAATTACCCAGGTAGTTGTTTTAGCAATTCACCACATTTTGCTTCATGGCTCTGGACTGAAAGTATATCACGATAACAATTGTGATCGAGTGGGAAGGGACCTTGGAGGTCTTCTAGTCCAACCCCCTGCTCAGGCAGGAAACCCTATACCAGTTCAGACAAATGGCTGTCCGGTCTCTTCTTAAAAACTTCCAGTGTTGGAGCATTCATACGAAGCACATGCTTTGGGTAAAATGTGTACAGAAATGTAGATCTTTTAGCTGCGTGCATCATGCCCAAACTCTGGGAAGAATATCGGAGTCATTAGGTTGACTTGGGCGACGCTAAAAACGGAATGAACGAGCAAACAAAATCTTGCAAAGCAAGACAAACTGAGCGGCTTCACAGCTTTTACCATGGGGGGGATATGGGAATTCAACAAACTCATGAACGCACGCAGGAAAACGGACCAGGGAGCAGAAATAGCCTGGTTTCTCTGAGCTGAGTTGGGCTGAGACGGAGGGACTGGCTCAGAGTCACCCAGTTGGCTTTCACGGCTACGGCGGCACTCGAATTCACCGTCTCCCGGTTCCTTCACCACCAAACTGGCTCTGTCACTTACTCAAAGCATTTTAAGCAAGCACTCCTGGGCTTGTACCGATCGTGTTCTTTCCATTTTAAGAAAAGGCTAAGAGGGACAGGTTTTGAGTATGTGAGAGAGATCACATACTTCCCAGGGGCAATGCCTTGTCTAACTCCCCCCCCCACCATTAGCAAAGTTAAATCAATGTAAGCGGTTTTTCTGCAATGACAGCTCCCCCCTCCCGGCTTTGTTGTAGCATTGGGGGTCTCCGTTTATTTCTCTCTCTTTATGCTCCCGGGGGAAATTCAATTAACAGTCTCCCTCTCCTCCTCTCCGTCAGGAGAAGTGACACTATCAAGATCCTTCTCACCGCCTCCCCCCCCCCCTCCTGACAAGCAAGC